GATGAGAGAGGCGATCCCGCCCCCAGATCATTAGAATCCCACCTCAAACCCGACCCACATCACGAGGCGGCCGCAGACGTCGAGAAGGCACCTTTGCCGTCCGCCTGCAGCAGCCCCAAGACGAGCAAGCTTGTGGCCCCGACAACGGCCGTAGCTCGCTCTCGAGGCTCGAAACTGCTGCTGCTGAGATCTCTCTCCTGCTGCTCCTGCTTCGTTCAGGGCTTGACTTCTGCCGTCGCTCGATTCGCGCTGGAGCGGACACGAGTTGCTCCAAGTATCCCAGGAGATCTCTGGATTGGCTTGGATTTACCACGATTGACCTGGATGCACCTCGATTGATCTGCATTTGCCATGCTTTATCTGGCTCGATCCCCACAAGTCAGTTGGTGAAACATGGAGCTCTTAGGGACTGCGCCTCCCAACTCTGCTCGCGCACGCACACGCGCGCCGCCGAGAACCCCCCCCCCAGTCCCAGTTCGTCATGCCGGGGAGCTTGGGCTCGATCGGCTGGGGCAAGCGAGGAGGCGAAGGGGGAGAAGGGGAGAGAGGGGGGAGAGGAGGAGGGAGGATGGGGGAAGACGCCCCCACCACCCTAACCCACTCCTGCTCCTCCTCCCCCTCCTCCTCCATCCCTCGGCCTCTCCCCCCCCGCCCCCTCCCTCCATGCAACCCCGTCCCCCCCACCTTCCGGGAAGGGAGGGCAGCGGACGACGCGGCAGGAGGGATCAGAGCAGGAGGAGGATCACGAGGGGAGACATGCTGATCACGCATGACGAAACTCTGAGAGGCGAGCGGATGAGCGAAGAGAGGAGACAGCGAGGCCCTGTTTACAGCCGCCCTGCAAGGCGAAAGCGACGAGCAGAATGGATCTGGTATGAGAGGTGCCATCCGTGCAGCCCCCAAATACGGAGGACAACCACCAGACTACCTGTACGACCACCCTTCGGGTGATGAGAAGGTTTGCGGGAGGAGCCAACTGATGGCATTAACGTTGGTGGTGATGCTGGTGGTGATAGTGGCGAACCACGGCGGCTCCAGACACCATCGGGACACCATCGGGACACCACCACCTCGCCCGCACCACGACACGAACACGAAACCCAAACCGATCTCTCGATGGGGTCTCTCAGTTCCACTTCGATCTCACCCCAAACCTCCGATGTAGGATGAAAAGAAGGATCCAGAACACTGGCTTCAAACACGGGGTGCTCCAGCAAGTCAAGAAGACCCTCGCAAACCAGAAAGCATGTAGGTACACAGAGACCCACGAAGGACGATCGGGACCAGGCTCGAGATACGGACCTCTCTGCTGCACATGAACACGATCAGACTCAGCAGCGCAACGACTAGTCTCCAAACGTATCAGTCGACCAGGCTTAGAATCATCACGGCAAGCCTCAACACATCATCCCTCGAACACCTGATGTCAAGGAGGCTCCCAGCTTGGCATCAGATTGTCCACGATGTCCCTCTGCGGGTTGTCATTGCACATCGGTTCAACTGCATTACGACTGAGCCGCAAAGCCCACTCTCACACAAATGATGCCCAAGAGGCGGCACTGGAGTATACATCACTCCCTGGTAGCATGGCATCATCTCCACTACACTCGGTCATCATCTGGTCCACAATATCACTCTGCTCCCCATTGCACTGCGTGCGGGCACTACCCACACCGTGCATTCATGCATGTACGCTGTCATGTTCTGCTGTCGGGTGAAATGCAGCAGAGCCAGCTACGAAGGAGAACGCAGGACATTCGGAAACTCCATGGAAGCCAACATGACCAAGTCAAACCTCTCCCTTCACAGCGCAGCGCTGGGGGGCTGCTTAAAATGCCCTCGTCGATGCGCGCGAGGAGAACAGCCGCCACGCGCAGTGTCATCATTTCGACATGGCCGTCATCACCAGCAGGATGGTGGTGAGCTAGCGGAAGCCGAAACCAAACGTGCCACTCGCTGCCCTGCGTGCTGGCATGCTGGTTGCCACGATCAGTTTGCATCCAGAAGTAAGCCGCAGCGCGACAACGCCAAGACTCGAAAGCAAAACAGCTCAGGCGCAACATCTTGAACCACCGCGTTGCGTCTACCAGGCCAGGGCCTCGGGCGGACCCTGCGACACTTCTGGGCAGGCACCCCGCGTGCGATTTGCGTCCGAAGCCACACAGGGTGGACAGCGACCACCATCGAGGGAGACAAGAACACTTGCCGGTGCGCCCGCTGCAGAGCATGCCGATGCTTGAGCTCAAACGTCACCGAGCGAGGAGGCCCCGGGAGCTCCGTGCCTGCAGGCCTCTTATGCTCCCACAGGGTGCCCGACACGTCAGGACCGTCAGGAACCAACCTCGACAGCAGCACTTCCACGAAATACAGCAGGAACTCGACCACAAGAAAGCCAACCCTGAGAATCCCAGGACGTCCATTTGATTTCTGGTGTGGGAACGCCACGCTTCCCATAGCGAAACCATCGAAGCCCCAGAAACCCAGAGCACACTGGAGGCAAGCAGGGTGTTTCTTGGCATGGGTTTCCACTGTACCGAGGCGAGACCGCGGGAGTCAAGAAGGCGTCGTGGGACAACGTCTGCAGGGGCGACACGCGGGGGGGGCGGGGGGGCATAGGGTGCCGAAAGAGGTGTGAGGCGGCAGGCCGCGACCCACGTTGGTGAGGCGGCAGGACGGCGAGAGGAGAGGGCGGCGAGAGGAGCATGGTTCACCGCCGAAGAGCAGGGGCATGATTTCCGATATGGGGACACTCAAACACGACCACAGCCTGTGAGGAAGAACGCAAACGGACGGCCGTCACACAAAAACCACGATGCGAATCGAAAAACACCAAACCATACTTTTCCATGAAATGAATTGACAGATGCTGCAAAAACAACAGGGTGGCCAACAGCCCTGTTGAAACGACAGAACCTTACGACGCGTTTGTACACCAGACGAAAATTCGATATGATGACGCGATACCCTCCACGATCTATTACCACTGCACATGTGCTGGCAATCTTCGCTAGCAATCGACCCGTTCAAAATCCGCTGTCGTAGAAACAGCTGCAGCGCTCTGTCGGTACCATAATTGACCGAGCGAAATTTAACCTTCAGCACGCACGCCTGCGGGAAGACCACAGGATGGCAGCTAACTGGGAAGGGGATGCTCGGGAAGGACGAGATGTTGTGGGGGAGAGGGGATGGGGGGAAGAGGAGGACGAGAAGGAGAGGTGGCGATACAAGGGAAAGGAGGAGGACTATGAGCAGAATTCTGTCTCTGGACTGAAGGCCACTACCGACGAACATAGACGAACGAACCCATATCTCGCTTTTCGCCTTGCCGAGGACCTGAGGCACGAGCCCCGACCTGGATCTTTCGGGGTATCAGTTACCAGCGTTGCTGAGCATATGATGGTAGCGACGGAGGACGACATCGACGGAAGTGACGACGACGACGACGACGACGACGACGACGACGACGACGACGACGACGGACCACTGACGACTACGATGACGACGGCGACGAATGAAGGCGTCGGCGAAGACGACGGCGAACACGACGATCGACGGCGAGAACGACGACGACGACGACGGTGACCACGACGAAGAAAGATAACAGCGATGACCACGACGACGACAGCGACCACGCCCACGACGAAGGCGACGACGACGACCACGACGATCGACGGCGACCGACGGCGTCGACGACGACGGCGCCGACGAGGCCGGCGGCGGCCGCGCAGGATCTGGCCTTCCCAGGGGTGTCCGCACGCTCCGCGCTGTGCTCCGAGGCCCGCCGCAACACCCCGGCCCGGCTGAGCAGCAGCTCGGCCGAGTCCCGGCCCTTCTGCTGCCTTTTCCGCAGGCGCTCCTCCGTCGCTTTGTTTTTAACGACGCGAGGAAGCTTGGGCCCCTCCTCCTCCTCCTTCTCCTATCCCTCCTCCCTCCTCCTGGTCCCCCTCCCTTAACTACCCGTTCCGTGCACCCGCTCCCCTCCCACTCCTCCTCGTCCTCCTCCTCGTCCTCCTCCTCGTCCTCCTCCTCGTCCTCCTCTTCCTCCTTCTCCTCCCTTGTCCCTCCTCCACCTTCCACCACCACCCCATCCTCTTTCCTCCTCCCCCTCCCTCGTTGTCCTCCTCCTCGTACTGCCGTCCCGAAGGTCGGGCGAGGCCCGGCGAAAAAGAGACGGCTACTGTTCGAGACTGAGCGTGCAGAGGCAATGATATGTTGGGGCCAGGCCCGGTGAGGCAAACAGGCCATTGCCTTCGAATTGCGTTGCAATCGAATCCAATTGCAATCGCATTGCGTTGCAATCGCATGGCGTTGCTTTGCTATGTCAGTGCAAAAACATGTCATTGCTTGCGCATTGCGTTGCACTGCAATCGAATTGACTTGCAACCGCGTCGCATTGTATTCGTATTTCGTTGCATGCCACGGTGGTTCATTTCGCACGCACCTCACACTCGTCGGAATCAAATTGCTCAGGGCGAGGTAGTTTGGCTAGATTTTTTAATTCTTTGAAAATGAGCCAGAACCGCCATGGGAACTGGAGCGCTGGACAATGCAATGCGTGGCTGCGGGCCACCATCGGGTCTGGAGACCCGGCGTGCTTCTTGTCGGAGCATGCTGTGGACCATTCGGCTTCTGCCATGACGGTTGCTGGCGCGCGGCCTGAAATGCAGTTTTTGGGCGGAGAGAGCAACCCGTGCGATCTGTTGCACATCTCGGACGAGCGCTCTGGCCGCGGCAAAGGAATGGTCAAGCGGCCCGGTTCAGGATCATGTGCAACCATTTTGGATGTGGTCGGGCCCATTTCTAAGACGCACATCTCCTACCGTTGCAACGCCGTGGATTGTCCAAAGCGCGGTGTGATACATTGGCACAACTATTACGTGGACGGTGGGCGGCACATTTTCCATGGGGACGCTAAGGCCATGAAGTGCATCATGCTAACCGCAAGCTTTCGACTCACTGCGGACTACTTGGAGGCCTTCCACAAGCGCATGCTGAGGGAGCACGTGTCCTTTGCCAGCGAGGCTGACGTGGCGCACGCCCAGGCTGGTGGAGCTATGTTGCCTGGCAAATTGCGGCAATACTTGTCTAAAGGCTGGTCCGTGTGGCGGTTTGCGAGGCGCCGTGGCGACCTGGGCCCAGAGGGAACTGCGGCGCTCGACTTGATGCAGCCCGTGGAGATCTACATAGCTAGCGCGTGGGACCAGCTCCAAAAAACATTCGAGCGTAAGACAGCAGAGAGGGCCCGAGCAGCGGCCATGAAGACCGATGTGCTGGTCATGGACGGCAACGCCAAGAATCGCCGGCTGATGTGCGCAGCGCCTGTACGCCACTTGGTGACGTGCCCGCGGTTGTCCAGGCGCGTGCGCGTTTGGTGCCCGCGGACGCCGCTGCTGGGTAGTGCTTTTCGTAAAGAGCACGGTTCGACCAGCGAGTGTTCGGCCATAGAGTACGAGGTGGCGGGGCCCGAGGTGCCAGAGGCTGGTGGCATGAACGTGGGCGGGTCGTTGAATCTGTTGGTGCGCGAGCGCCGCGGAGAACTCAGAGAATTGTGGGTGTCGGAGTCGTGCGTGGACCCGGGCATCGCGAATACACCCTGCGAAATGCTTAAGAAATCATGGGTTAAGAAATTCATAGTCTCAGAACTTGAATAAACACCCAACGTTTCCATGAAAATCTCAAGATTTACATTGAAACGTTAAGAATAATCGAGACTCTGGCCGAAAACTTAGGTTTTCTTAAGCATCGCCTAAGGTGTACATACTTTCGCGCTCTCGGAGAAGAGCAGAGAGCTGCCGAGGCGGGGCGGCGGGGAACGACGGCGCGCACGAGACGGGCGGCGGCAGACGAGGTGCGCCGCGAACTCGAGGCTGCAGCTCCTTCGTGGGATTCGCCCACGCCGGTGGAGCGTGGGCAGCTCCTGTCGGAGATGTCGTCAGACGTCGTCTTGCAGGCCGTGGCCTGCGGTACTCACAAGGACGACGACTCGCAGCGGACCAAGTACGCCAGGACCGCTGGGGTGTTGTGCTCGTGCCTGTCTTCTGGCATCGTTGTGACTATGCGGAAAGTGTTCGGCTGCGAGTGCTTGAGCCAGAGGTACTTATTTGTCTCTGCAATCGCAGAGGCACTTCCCGAGGTGGCCGTGGTCATTCACGACGACGCGTGCCATTTGTACAAATTCACAGAACGCCAGGCGTCCGCGTCTGCGCGTGCCGCGCGGTAGGCTCCGCCAGCGATGACGTCAATCTGTGACGTCTTTCACGTGAGTGGGCACACACTGACGCGTGGTGCAAAGCGAAGTTAAACCCTGCCTCTCCGCATTTGAAGAACTTCGTCGAGGGCGTGCCCACATCGGCGTGTTAGTTTACACTCACGTTGCTGAGCCAATACGAGCATCAAACCAAACACATGAGCGAATGGGGGTTCAAGTTCTCTTTGCAGGAGATGTTCATGGCGCACAACGATGCTATAGTATTGGCGCTTCGCGCATTCCCGCCAGCCCGCCCAGACACGGCGCCCAGGCGAGTTGACCTGATCGCGCAAGTGGAGAAGTAAACAACGGGACAGACGGTTTTAGATGCTGTCGCACCTCGAGGGGAGAGGGCACGGAGAAGGAACGATGCGGAGAAGGAGGAGGAAGCGGATAACGATAAGTTCCGGAGAATGAGGACAGAATTTGGTGCCCCTTGGGACTTTTAGGATGCGTCAGAAGTGCAAATTCGAGGCCTCTGACTCTTGCTCCCGTTTGCGGGGGTGCGTCTTGGGGGTCCTGCGATCTCTCTTGGAGCCATCTGGAAAGAATTCGACCACATGAGTTTCCAGCATAGCGCTGGCCTTTCCAGGGCCGCAACGGAGCCATCCATTCCGCTTGGGACATTATCACACTAAATACGATTTGGTCAGCATCGTCCTGGGAGCACCAATTATTACGCGCGCCCCCCTCCCCACCCCCTTTCGTCCCCGATCGAAGCCCAGGGAGGCGGAGAGGCGGAGGGGTAAACGTCTCCCAGACGAAGAAGAGCGGAAGAAGGAAGAAAAGCGGTTGACCCCCCCGTGGCCCGAGGGGTAGTGGGATTTCAAGGTTCGGCGGCGCACCTGATGCACATGAGCGCGGACTGATCTTGAGCTTTTGTCTGCGTCTGCGCGATTCGTGGGCAGCACGTAGGCGAGACCCGGGACGTCGTGGCCCGTTGATAGCGCGCATCCATATCAACAGTGCGAAGTCAAAATTGTTTCCAAGCGTCCTCTTTTGCCTTCGTCGTCGTCCTCCTCCTCCTCGCCCTCGCCCTCGTCTTTGTCCTCGTCCGCGTCGACGTGCTCGTCCTCGTCCTCCCTCCCCCCTTTTCCTCTTCCTCCTCGTCTTGCTCCTCCCCTTCCTCCTCCTCCTCCTCCTCCTCCTCCTCCTCCTCATCGTCCTCCTCCTCCTCCTCCTCCTCCTCCTACTCTTTATCTGTTCTTCGATGTCCGAAGTCTGGGTTCCACGGGTCTGGGGTCTAGGGGGTCAGGGGTCCAGGGGTCCGGGGTCCGGGGTCCGGGGTCCAGGGGTCCGGGGGTCCGGGGTCCGGGGGTGTCCGGGGTCCGGGGTCCGGGGTCCTGGGATCCAGGGGTCCAGGGGTCCATGGGTCGGGGGTCGGGTCCAGGGGTCCGGGGTCTGGGGTCCGGGGTCCAGGGTAACGGGGGTCCGGAGTCCGGGGTAACGGGGTCCGCGGGTCCGACCTGGGCGGCAGGTGGTTCGTGCGTGCGTCTCTGCCCGACCCCAGGCTTCTCCGACTGAGCATCGCTCCCAGAGGCCAAAGGCCACGAGGAGGCGGAGGAGGAGCAGGACGAGGAGCAGGAGGGCGACAACGACGAAGAGGACAGCAACGATAGGGAGGATAGGGAGGCGAACGCAGAAGCAAACGGAGGCCAACCACGAGGCGGCGGAGCCAGAGCAGGCGGCGGCGACGGGCGAGCAGAGGAGGAGCAATGGCAATGGCAACTGCAGCAGCAGGGAACGACGAGCAGCCCCACGAGGCCAAAACACACGAAAACAAGCCCGCCGTGATCTTGCGCGCGACGCCTGGAAGTCTGGGGCAGCAGCGGCAGGACTGGCTGGTGCGCCGCACCCCCCCCCCTATCGAAGTGCGCTGCTGAAGGCTTAGGCTTGCAAACAACCTGGCCACTTCTGATGATATCCAAGCGCGTTGCGCACTGCGATCCGCGGGTATCTTCGAGCCACCTCGCCGCCGCCCTGCAGAAGGGCGCCTCTCCAACCCAAGCCGTGATGCGAGAAGCGCAGTTCACGTCTCGCCCCTGCGGGTGACCTAAGGGAAACGAATGCCCCCGCGAGGTGCGATGCCGCGGCTGCCCCGCCGCCGCCGGCCGTCGAGCCAGCCGCTCTCTCTGCCCTCTCTCTGGCCCATCGCGCCATGACCGAGCGACCGACTGGCGCGTCGCCGCGCGCGAGCTCGCCGAGCGGAAAGAAAGCGCGGCCGACGAGCAAACCGCGGCCCAATGAGGCTGAGCGCGCGAGGGCGGATGCAGTCCGAGGTTCGCTGCATGTATTCCGCGATCTCGGAAGCCTGGCAAGGGCGCCGGCGCGGAAGCAGATCAGACACACATGCGTATTAGAACCACGCGCGCGCTTCGCGCGCGCTTAGGTTCTAGCTAGGCTTCACGATCGAACTTTGAAGATCTCTATTTTGTGACCAATCCCTCTGGGGAACCCAAGAGCTACGCCAACGGCTCAAGTGACTTCCAAGACCTCCTGAGGCCATTCCGCAGCGACCTAAGACTGGGTTAAGAAATCGTCGTCGTCGTCGTATAGCTGTGTATGTTCGGATCCGCAAGAAGACCTTTCTGGACCCCTTTGGGAGACCTCTTGGAGGCCGTCCTATCTGTTTTGAACCATCTTGGGGCCTCGTTTGGGCCTCTTGGGGGTCTCTTGGGGGTCTATTGGGTCCTCTTGGGGACTTTTTGGGCCTCCTAGGAAGATCTTTGGGCGGACGGCTGCTACTTTCGAGACGGAATTCCCCTCTTGGACCCCTCCTGGAGCCGTCTTAGTCGGCCCTTGGGCCGTCTTGGTGCCCTTTTGGCTATCTTAGGGGGCCTCCTGGGAGCGTCTTCGGTTCGCTTGGGGAAATCTTGGGGGTCTCTTGGACCGTCTTCAAAGCCGTGTACGTTTCGCCGAAAAGAATATGGATCCTCTTGGGGATGCTCTTGGAGGCCTTTTGGGGCGTCTCGGAGCCGACTTGGACCTTCTTGGGGCCATCTTAGGCAGTCTTGAGCGACTCGTGGGCCTTCTTGGGGCCCGTTTTGGGGCTAACTTGGGCAGTCTTTGGCAGCCCTTGGGCCGTCTTGGCCCTCTCGTGGGCTACCTTGAGGGCCTCTTGGGAATGTCTTAAGCTCTCTTGGGCAAGTCTGGGGAACTTCTTGGGCCGTCTTCAAAGCCGTGAAGGCCGACAAATCGCATATAACAGACATGCACGCTTTCAGCATGAATTCAACGATTGTGGCTTATTGGGGCCGTCTTGGGCACCGTCTTGGGGCCAACTTGTTCGTCTCAAGCAGCCCTTGAGCCGTCTTGGCGCCCTCTTGGGCTGGCTGGGGGGCCTCTTGGGAACGTCATGGGCTGTCTTGGGGGAATATTTAGAGCCTCTTGGACCGTCGTGACAGCCGCGAACGCTGAAAAGTTGTACATGCTGAGGATGTACGTTCCCCCACAGGAATTTGATGATTTGGGCCTCTTGGGTCCCTCTGGGGAGCGCTCTGGGAGTACTCCTGGGCCGTATTGGGCAGCTCGGGACCTTCTTGCGCCGTGTTGGGGGCATCTTGGAAACCTCTTGGCTCGTTTGGCACCCTCTTACCCTCTCCGGGCCGCCTCTGGGGAGCGAAACGGGGGGGTATCAGCGGGCTTCCCCCGATGGTTGTGGGGTGGACTGGCCCTGGCCAAGGGGGGGCCTATTTATCTATATGATGTATATATGGGGCTGTCCTAAACCGTCTTGGGGCGTTCTTGGGCGCCTCTTCGGATCTTTTGGGGGCTCTTCTAAAATGCATGTTTTACGAAAGGAATGGGGCCAATGTTGTCTCGCGGGGCTCTCTTGGAGGGCCTCTTGGGGCCTTCTTGGGGCGTCTTGAAGGCCTCGTGGTCCTTCTGGAAGCCATCTTGGGCCGTATCGGAGCGCTCCTGGGGCCCTCTCGGGGCGACCAGGAAGTCTCTTGGGCCATCTTGGGCGGACTGGGAGGCCCGGGGGCCGCCGGAGGAGCGTCCCGGGAGGCCCTCCTGGGCCGTCTGTCTCAGCCGCCCTGGGGCATCCTTGGGCGCCTCTTGGGGTTTTTTGGCCGCTCCGATGTCCTAAAAAACGTACGTTTTACGTACGTTTTACGTACGTAAAAACGTAAAACGTACGTTTTTTACGAACGTACGTTTTACGTACGTTTTTTGGGAGCTGATATCCTAAAAACGTACGTTTTACGAAGCGACTGGGGCCATCTTGGTCTCATGGGGCGCTCTTGGGGGGCCTCTTGGGGCGGCTTTGGGGCCTCTTGGCCCTTCTGGGTGCGATCTTTGGCGGTCTGGAAGCGATCCTGGGGTTCTCTCCTCTCGGCGCTGTTGGAGCCTTCTGTGGCGGACTGGAACGCGCGGGGGGCCGCTGGAGGGCGTCCTCGGAGGGGGCCACTCCCCATGTACAAGAAAGGTTCCAGCCCGGGGCCTGGGGCCCGCGAACTCCCATATAGGTATGCTAGAACCATCGCGCGCGCATCGCGCGCGCTCAAGTTCTAGCTAGGCTTGAAAGACTTCAACCGACGGCCCCCGGCAATGTTCGCATCCGATCCACCCGAGTCGGCACACCCCTGACACGGGTCTTGGCCCACAAGAAGATCCACCTACGGCCCCAGAGAGAAGGTTCGCATGGCATCTTGGATGCCTCTCGCCGGCGCATTAGAACCGAGTTATGAGCCTCTTGGGGGCCTCTTGGAGGCCTCCTGGGTGCGTCTTGGGGTGCTTTGGGGGGCCTCTTGGGGGCCTAACGGCGCCTCCTGGGGGCTCTTGGGACCGAAAGCTCGGAAATCGAAAGTGGCTGTCTTCTTCTGGGAGCCCTCTCGGGCGCTTCTTGGGCTTCTCTTGGGCCGTCTTGGGGGCCGATTGGGCCGTCGTGCGTTCCTCGTAGGCCGTCTTGGAGATTTCTTGGGGGCCTCCTGGGCCGTTTTGGGGGGCCTCTTGGGCCGTCTTGGACGCGGTGACAGCCCGAGAGGCGAGCATGCGAAAAATATACGTTGTCCCATCGGAATAAAAGAATTTTAGTTTCTTGGGGCTCTCTTGGGGTGCCTCTTGGAGCATCTTGGGGTGCTTTTGGGGGCCTGTGTGGGGCCTCTTGGGGGCGTATCGGCGCCTCCTAGGATCTCTTGGGCCGAAAGCTTGGAATTCGAGAGTGGCTTTCTTTCTCTGGGACTCCTCTCGGGCGCGTCTTGGGGCTCTCTTGGGCCGTCTTGGGGGCCCATTGGGCCGTCCTGGGCTTCTCGTGGCCCGTCTTGGAGCTCTTTTGGGGGCCTCCTAGGACGTCTTGGGAATCCCTTGGGCCGTCTTGGACGCGATGACAGCCCAACAGGCGAACATACGAAAAATAAACGTTTTCCCTCAGGAATGGGACGATTGTTGCTTCTTGGAGCTCTCTTGGGGTGCCTCTTGGAGCGTCTTGGGGTGTTTGGGGGAGCCTTCCGGGCGCTTCGTGGGGGCTTCTCGGCGCCTCCTGGAGCCACTTGGGGTCGAAAGCTTGGAATTCGACGGTGGCTTTCCTCCTCTGGGGCCCTCTCGGGCCCGTCTTGGGGACTCTCTCGGGCTGTCTTGGGCCCTTCGTGGGCCGTCCTGGAGCTTCATGGGGCTGTATTGGGGCCCTCTGGGGCGCGTCCTGGGCCGTATTGGAGCGGTCTTGGGAGCTTCTGAGGTCGTCAAGCACGGACCGACAGCGAAAACAAGCAATATGTTAAGAATATACGTTTTACGAAAGGAATGGGGCTATTTTGGCCCCTTGGGGCTCTCTTTGGGGCCCTATTGGGGGTCGCTTGGGGTGTCTTGGGGGCTTCTGGAGCCGCCTTGGAGGCCATGTTGGGCGTCTGGGAGCGACCTTCGGGCGTCCCGGGTCTGCTCTGGAGCCTCTTGGGGCCTCCTTGGCGCCTTCTGGCGGCCTTCTGTGAGGCCACGGGGCTCCCCGAGGGCCCCGGGGCCCATATTTGCGGTAGCGGCGCCGGCCCTGGGCGCCCGGACCCGGTGCGCCGTTATATGTATATGTCAGAGTGGGGGGGACGAACGGTCATGCACTGCCCCTGGGCGCGTAGCTGAAGTGGGGCACGCGGTATGGATTGTTCTTTTCAACAAAAAAAACTGTTGTAGATCCCACCGTCGGTGACCATTTGTGTTTTTTAATTAAACTGCTCCTCCCAGGGCTCGCACCCTGTTTTCCATCAGGGAGAATCTGAAATCACCAAACTGTATTGTTGGCCCTCGGTTTACTACAACAACGGGTCCCGCCTGATGCTTCCTCACAGCTAATTGCTCAATCGCGCTCTCGCGCAGGATTTCCTCAGAATGTATGTATGCAGCCTTCGTGCTATCTGTATTCAAACGCCGAGCCCTCGATGCTCATGAACTACGCTCTCGCCCTGGGTGTTGCTCACGAGTTACTTGGGAATCGCGCTATCGCTCGAACTTCCTCGCGATTTATCCAGTAGTCACGCTTCAGCAACCCGCCTGCCTGCTCGACCTTGCCGCCTGGGCCCGCCTTCCCGATCAGCCTGTCAGGGTCCACCCATTCGATCAACCCGTCTGCTTCTGCCACGTGTTTTCTGCTCCTGAGCACCCTCCTGCTAATCCCGTGCTCCATCCTTCTCCCTCCGCTTTCCATCCGTCCTCTGTTGGACGGGCTGCACCAATTACACGCGGCAGGTAAGCAAGGTATACCCCGGGGGTACGATCGAAGACGACGAGGGCGGGTGTCGAGTGTTTGGGATATACGTGTTGAATGGCACGCGGGCAGGTAGGAGCGAGCATTGTTGAACTGAGTGTGGTTGTTGTTGATGTGGTTGTTGCTGCTGCTGTTGATGGTGCTTGTTCCGAGAAGCGTTTGGCCACATAGGCGCAATTATCCTAAAGGCAGGAGCGGCGGTGATTCGCCGTAGGCGTCGTCGATATATATATATATACACACACATACACATCCGTCATCGTGCCGAAGGACCATGGGCGTGTTAGAAGGTGTCTACGATGTTTGGTCTGGCTGGCTTCTTGAGTGTTTCTAGGGCCCCCCCTCGCCCAAACCGAGATCGACCCCCCCCCCCCCCCGGAAGGCCCTCTCGGGAGCTCCTGGAGCTCCTGCTGGCATCCAGGCCAGATGCCCCAAGAGGCCCCACGAAGCCTCCAACAGACGCCCGTAAAAGCATCAAGCTAGGCGCTCAGAGGAAAGAAGGTTGAACAACAAGAATAAGCTCAATGCGTTTGCGACCGAGGCCTGCAGGCTGCATATCGCCTCGGGAAAGCTTCAGGCAGCCCCAAGGACCCCAAAAGACAACACAAAACTGCCCCAACAGCCCGCAGATGGCTTGAAGACTGCCTGGAAACCCTCCGAGCCGCCTGAAGAAAGCTCCAGGACGGCCACACGACCGAGGCAACGAGGTTGATTTGACCCATGAGTTGAGGCCCGCGCTGAACCAACCTGGGTATTAAAGTCAGCCTCCTTCACGCTGCACTGATGCGCTGGCATGACAGCGGGCACAGGCAGCTGGGCATCCAAGATGATGAGGGTAGCGTGCAATCGACACGTGAGCGACAATCGGCGATCGAGGACCGGTTTTTTCGACGCTCTTGCCATGTTGAACCTCTGAAAAATCCTGGGGACCTCTGAACCTTTGAGGCCTTCGCGGGGACCTACGGAATCCGATGGGAACATCCAGCGACCGCTGATCGTACAAAGCAACGGAAAAAAACCCTTACGCACGAAGACACGTCGAACTTTACGCGATGGCTCACGCAAGCCACCAAGGCGGAGAGCGACGCGGAAAAGAGGGTGTCTACGCCTGAGGTTACGCGGGCAACTTACACGCGACTGGCCTCGGAAATCGAACGCACAATGCTTCAGCATGCCAACTCGAATATCACCATCTGGGCCCCATTAGACAACACCTCTCTTGAAGCGTGTCACCGCATGTTTGGCGTGCCGCCGCGTCGGCGCGCTTGCCACCTGACGTCTCCAAATGGTATCCATGATGATGCGGCATGTGCCCAAGGTTCACGCCACGATGTCGCCACCCGAACGGCCTGCTACATTGTGTGAAGACATTGGCAGCCTGTCAAATCAACCAAGTGTCACTTCCGAGACCGTTGGTCGCCTGATTACATGGCTTGTTTGACCATCTTCTTTCAAACATCGAAAACATATCCCCGTGATACTTGACGATGAGAATCGAGATGCACGCTGCTGACGTCCGTGCCAGCATATTGCTCGATGTCTGCTCCACTTTGACAATGACTCGAATGATCATGCAATGGCTCGTGGCGCATGGCTCATTCTGAATGACAAGGTGGCCTGAGACTTGCGGAACCATCCCGGACATCTGCCTATGCACGAGTCGCTGATTCCCCTTACTCCCAGCATGCGGGCCTGACAGCCAGAGTCACACAGGAACGGAATCAAGATAGTAGAAAGGGAGAGAGAGAGAGAGAATATATATATATATGTGTGTGTGTGTGAAGAAATAACAAGACGGGCGACGGCGGGGAAAGGAGAGATGCGGAGGCTAGGGAAGGGGAGCGGGAAAGGGGAACGGGAGGGGGAGAAGACTCCGTATCCGCACTCCTGCCACCACTGTGCCTGTCGATGAAGTTGGAGCAGAGGCTAAAAAGGGTCTCTTCGCCCTGGGTCAGCTCTCTCCCCGCCTTCAGGGCCAGTCTCCTTGCATGGCTGAGCATCCTCTCCGTAGGCGGCCGCTTGGACTGGTCCGCCGGCGGTGGCCGCGGCTGGAGCTCCGGGTCGTCGATAGCCTCTGGCATGATCTCTGGCATGGTGTCCAGCCTCAGAGGCGCCGCCGGCCTCACAGACCCCGGGCACACCACGAGCCTGAGACGACGTCGGGACGAGGATAAATTCGGGTGAGGATGAATCGAGAATCTCCGATAGCAGGCGGCTCTGGTGGCTGCATCGGGCGCCAGGGCCTTCTCAGAGCGTTCCGGAACGCTCTGGAAGCTTTTCGGAACGCTCTGGAAAACAGATTTATCTGACTACCTACCAGACCACCCCAACCCAACCGGAAGACCCAAATTTCGCCTAAATTTCGGGCTGGGGGGTACAGAATCCATGTGTTGTTTCAATGTTCCTCGACCCCCCCCCCACTGGAAATGGAGGGAAAATTGAAGCCTTCGGGTTGGGTTGAGGTGGTTCAGTGGGCGGTGAGTATCCTCTTCCTAGCCCCGTCGAGCCGCTCGACCAGGTCCTCCTTGCACCTGCCGCCCTCGACCAGGCCCCTCGCCGCGCACTCCGTCTGCAGCTCGAACCACGTGCGCCGCCTCCAAACCTCGGCCGTGCACATCCAGTCCTGATGGGGAACGTTCGAGAGGAGGAGAAGGAGGAGGAGGAAGAGGAGGAGGAGGAGGGGGAGGAGGAGGAGGGGAAGGCGGAGGAGGAGGAGAGGGAGGAGGAGGCGGAGGGCGAGAAGGGAGGAGGGATGAGGAGGAGGAGGAAGAGGAGGAGGATGACGCAGGGGGGAGGAGGGAGGAGGAGGCAGGGGGAAAGAGGGAGGGGTAGGAGGAGGAGGAGAAAAAAGAGGATGCGTGAACGGCTCAGGGGAGGAAACATCGACCTGGAATCGGCGGTACATCGCCGATACATCGGCGAAAAGCCCCTGATAGCGAATCCGCACACTCCTGGATGAGGCGAGTTATACGAAACCTTTTCTGGCAGTCCGCGACCACAGAGAGTGAGCGGGCATCCCCCTCGCGAGCTTTTGCAAGCGATTCCGCTTCTGGCTGGGCGCCTTCTCCGCGTAGTTCTTCAACATTTGCGCGGCCAGCTGCCGGATCTGCGCCTTCGTGCTGACCTTCTTGGTGTTGAAGTCCTCCTCCGTCGGTCGGAAGAAGTGATTAGAAACAGGAAGTATAAAGGCGTTGGAAGTAGGTTGGATCTCCGCCCGCCATCCTGAACAGGAGGGAAGTGCGAAAACCACTCGATCCTTGAAGAAGGAAAGCCCCTAAAGTACATTGGGATTGGGCATGCAGCAATACATACAACGACTGGCGAAGGATGCTGCCCCTGAAGTCCTCGGCGAAGGATGCCGCCTGCCCGCCACGTCGGGAGACCGCCTGTGGCTGCGCAACCTCTTGGCCCCTGCATGCCGACGCTGCGCCGACGGCGACGCGCCCGCCGCACAGCAGCGCGGCCGCGGCGGGGCCCGTCGCGAACAAGAGCACCGTGAGCAATGCGCGGCGCCGGCGTTCGCGGTGGCGGCGCGCGGCGGCGGCGGCCCTCGGCATTGGGCGCGCACCGGGGTCAAAGCCCCCCTTCAGCGCCGTGTAGCGGCTGGCTCGGGTGGCCCTTGGGAAAGCTTGGGCCAGAAGGGGCACAGAACTCTCCCCGACTGGTGGCTGTCGGAGGGCTGGTCGCAGATCGGCGGATCGGTCGGTTCGGGACGATCGCTGCTGCGAGCTAGATCGATCGAATCGTCGACAGATCTGCTTCCTACATCCTAAGCAACTGGGTAAACATAATTGAAATTGAGGCGTTGGTGCCGCCGCTTGGAAGCCTGTCGTCAAGCTCTAAGTGGCCGCTGCAAAGGGCACGACATCACAAAACCACCAAATCATAAACGAATAATTGCAAAAATCTGCCTGGAACTCTCGACTTTTTTCTGGGACCGGCTTCCAATCCCGAAACCGTGTTTTTCCGGTTCTGGGGCCTCGATCTACAATTCGAGTCTGAAAACGGGAGATGGCTGCAACCAAACTACAAAAAAACAACAACAAACGGAAGCTCTCCGGCGTGATTCTTACTCAATCGCGATGAGGTGTCGGTCCTCTTCCGGCGATCCGTGATGGCATCCAGAGGACCGCAAGCCTCCAGTGGCCTCCGGACGACTCTGTAGATCCGAAGGCAAAAACATGCTTGGAACAGAACGCGATCCTCCTCCCCCCTGTGTCCCATTGCTCCTCCTCACTTTCCTTGTCTTCTTCTTCTTCCGCACTCTCCTCCCCCAAGTGTTTTTTTTTCTGTTCCTGATCCTGCTCCTCCCTTGACTCCTCCGCGTGCAATCATGGCACTGCCAGAAGGAACGTGAGGAGCTTGTCTGGCCACGGCGGGCCTCGTTCACGAATCGGCTTCCCGACCTAGAACTGGGGCGCGGCCGGAAGTCCAGAGCCCCTCCTGAGCCTAATGTGAGCCTTAAGTCAGCGCCTTGACTGCACACCTCTTCCACGGGCCAGAGCTCTGGGTCACTCCCTCCCCCCCCCGCCCTGAGCGCCGGTGCCGGCTGACGCCCACATCGTGGTCCGCAGAAGCATGGGAGCGGCGTGTGGCCTCCAACTTCTTGCGCTCCTCCTCTGTATTCCCCTCCTCCCCTCCTCCCCTCGGCAGCGAGAGAGGACGGGACGTGAAAGCGAGGCTGTACGTGCCTGCGGCGAAGCTCTAATCAAAGAGCCCTCGGACAGGAAGGAGGCGGCACCGGCGTGAGACGCTGATGATGGTTTGGCACACGATGTGCAGAGCGCGCCAGCGCCACTCTTCCACGCGCAACGGGCCTCCGCAACCGCGCACCGCCGTGGATGCGCCAGCGGAGACTTGGGGACCCCTCTTCCGGGGAACCAAAAGGACTGCGCCAGCTTGACCCAGAAGGCGTGATACCCCACGAGGGATACATACATATATATATATATATATATATATATATATATATATATATATACATATACAGAGAGAGAGAGAGAGATTGGCAGAGGCAAGGAGAAGGAGCCCGCACATCTGTGGGGCCGAGAAAGCCGAGAGTTTACATCGTACGCTGTCTCTGCCCGCAGCGCAGCACCAAGGAGCCAGGAGCCTTCGCGCCACCATGCGGGTCCGAGGCAGGGAGGTTGCGGCACCGGCGTCAGACGACGACGATGGTTTGGCACACGGTGCGCAAAGAGCGCCAGCGCCCTCCTGCCCAGCGCCGCGGGCCTCCGCCGCCCCCTCTCTGAACATCGAAGGGGGCTCGAGCTCCGCGGCGTCACGCTGTCTCAGTCCCCATGCCGCAGTGCTCCCAGCCTCGGGCGAGACTGCACTGCGCCGGGCGGCACAGGGGGGCTGCAAGGGCCGGGACCAGCATCGACCACCTGATGTCACTGCCGCCCCGCGGCATGCCGCTCCAGGGCCTTGGACGCCCGAAATCGGTACGGCGAACATGGGCACATTGCACAATGACAAATGCTGTCCAAGACCGACAGCGGCCGCTGCTGGGCAGGCGGCTTCCCCTCTCCAAAAAACAACGCCCGCGGCGGCGCGGACAGCGAGTCCCGATCAAGACGGGCAGGAACTGCTGTGCTGGGCATCCTACCCGCCCTCTCCGTGCCCGCTCCGACCGTCCCGAAGCGCCTCTGGGCCCAGGCGCGGCACGAGCCAGCGGGCGCCCGGCGAATGCGCCCGCGCATCGTCGCTGGGCGGGCCGCGCCGGCGTCTGCACGTCGCTGGGCGCGCCGCCCCCCTCCCGGGCCACCCCCGTCTCTCCTAGGGATTTCCGAGAGGAGGAGGAGGAGGAGGAGGAGGAGGAGGAGGAGGAGGAGGAGGAGGAGGAGGAGGAGGAGGAGGAGGAGGAGGAGGAGGAGGAGGAGGGGGCCGAGCTAAGGACTCGCAGGAGCTCCACGGGCGGAGGGCGGGCCGTCTTCGAGGAGTGGCGCTCGCCCGACCGCCGCGCCCACTCGTCTCGAGCAGTTGTCAAACAGCGGTGCCGATGGCGGGCGGGCGGTGTTCAGAGTGTGGCTCTCGCCGTAGCGCTGCGCACACCAGGGGGGCGCAGGGGGAGGGGGGCAGGCTTCCTAGGAGGAGGCTATCGCAACCATGGATCCTCCTCCTCCTTCTCCTCCTCCTCCCCCCTCTCCTCCCCCCTCCTCCTCCTCTCCCCTCTCCTCCTCCTCCTCCTCCTCCTCCTCCTCCTCCTCCTCCTCCTCCTCCTCCTCCTCCTCCTCCTCCTCCTCCTCCTCTCTCGCCGTGTCTTCAAGCGGTTGCAGCGGGTCCATGGATGGAGGGCGGGTGGTTTCCCGAACGTGGCGCTCGCCTCCGCAGCGCCGCGTGCAAGAGCTCAACGGTCGGGGGGTCGGCTCCTCTTCAAACTGGGGCTCTCGCTTGTGCGCCGCGTACATTCGCTGTGAAGTCTTGCAAGAGCTTCACCAGTGGAGGGCCAGTTCAAAATGTGGCTCTCGCCTTAGCGCCGCACATTCACCACAGTTTCATGGAGTCTTATGGTTGACGTTCCAGGAACTGCATCCCCGCTCGATTCTCAGATTGGCAGGGCACAAGAGTGACGGTGGTATTGAAGCCTTCGTAAAGGGGTTTTGGCACGATTGAGGATTCTCAGACGGTTGCCTTCTAACGGGGCTTTTGCCGCAGTCAAGCTGGATCTTTGTAGGGATATATGAACAAAAAAACTTGGATGGAGGGTTTACGGCAAGACCTCCGAATTCGGGATTTCTGCTCGCGAGGTGACTCCCCGAAATTTAGACCACTACCCTGGGGCTAACTTTTCATCATAGGCTCCTGAGTTGCTGTCGGCGGTCTCAGGGCTACGCAAGGGCCCCTTACAAAAGAAAGAACAATCACAGAAAAACACCTCCCGTCGTGGTTTGTGCTCACGGCGTGAGGAGGTCTGGGTCCTCCTATTCCCTCCCCCCTGCTCCGCCCTGGCGAGCCATAGGCCGGTCTGAGGCCTTCTGCGCCTTCTGGAGGGCCGAGAAGTCCAGGTTTTCCAAACTGTTGGAGTGCGCCCTCCACCGGGACGCACTGTGGGTCGACCTGACCGGGCGGCGGCCCTCCCCTCTCTCGTCGACCTCGTTTCAATGATTCGCGCCCTTTACCAATGCTCTCCCCACCCCGTTCCACTCCTCCTTCTCCCACATTACTTTTACTCTCCTCCCTCCTCCACCACCTCTCTGCAGTCCGCCTATCCCGCCTCATCCTGTTTCTACCACTCCGCCTCCCCCATCCTGCATCCCGCATTCTCCTCCTCCATCCCTGCATCCTCCTCCTCCTTCTCCTCCTCCTCCTCCTCCTCCATCGCCCAGCCCCGTCTGACCCGCTCCACCATCTCGGTGCGCCTCCTCCGCCGCCGCCAACCTGCACAGCCTCAGCAACCCTCCTCATCTACAATTACTCCGGCAGATGTTCGGCTCCCCTCCGCGTATTATTTTTCACACATCGGATTACTGGGAATTGTGCTGTCGCTTGGTTTTTCTAAATGAGCTGCAGCGCTGGCCTCATCTTCGGGCTTCCGCTCGTTCCGAATCGTACTCCCGCTGCAGCGGTGGCCTCATGTCCGCGCTTCCGCTCGTTCCGAATCGTGCTCCCGCTGCAACGCTGGCCTCATTTACGCGCTTCCGCTCGTTTCGAATATTGCTCCCGCTGCAGCGCTGGCGTCACTATTTCCAGTGCCATGCCACGGCATGCAATGCAATACTATGTGGTGCTCCGCTTTGCGATGCCATGCCTTCAGCTGCAATGCTAGGATATGCAAAGCTTGATTACGCAGTGCCACGCCATTATGTGCCATGCTACGCTTTGATCTTCGACGCCATGCGATGTCATGTTATGTTATGTGCCGCTGTGCGATGCCGTTATTTGCGTTGCAATGCTTTTTGATGTAATGATTCACTACACAACGCCGCGCCATGCTATGACATATTACGCTCTGTCGTGCTCTTTTGCGCCCTGCTATGCTGTGCTCTACGATGCATCGAGCACCCTCTGGGGATCATTGCCCTGCTCGACATCCGACTGTGCGAATAGAGAAAAGACATACGCCATGGTAAGGGATGGGAGGGAGGGATAGGACGTCAGATCTGACGCAAGCGAACCTAGCTTGGCCCTCCCCCTCCCACAACACCTCCTCGTGATTCTCCCCCTCGGTGAGCCCGGGTGCCCAAAGGACCGTCATGAATGCGTCTGGCTCAGAATGCACAAAGATGGGGCCGCGAGTGCCAGTCATGGTTGATGCGACAACGTTGTGATTGTCCCCCGCCCCCTCCGCCTCACCACCTCTGATGGGCCTGTTTTCCACCACCACCACCATAAGTTGGAGGGGGGAAGGAGGTTGAGGACGAGGAGGAGGCGGACGAGGAGGAGAAGGAGAAGGAGGATGAGGAGTAGGAGGAGGAGGAGGAGGAGGAGGAGGTGGAGGTGGGGGAGGAGGACCCCCTCCCCCTCCGACTTTATGGTGGTGGTGGTGGTGGTGGAAAACAGGCCCATCAGTTGTGATTGTCCCCCGCACCCTGCGCCTCCCCACCTCTGCGCCTCCGCCTGCAAAACGACAGAGGCACGCAGTGCTGACGGTCCCCGGGGATCTTCGGCGGTGGACAAGCCTCCCTGTAGTAAACCTCCCCTTCGTGAGAAAGGCCTGGGGCCGAACACCGACGGACCCGGACCCGCAAAAATGACGGCCGCGACGCCCTCCCGCGAACCGAAGGCGGCCGATTCACTAATCGACGTGTCAGGGTAGGAGGTCTGTCCACCCCAGAGATCTCTTCGCTCTGCGGTGGCCCCCCCCTCCTGGGCGTGCGGAGCGCGCCAAGGGCCGCACGGGAGGCGCCGCGAGGGGGGCCCCCAGAACCGATCCAAGAGATCCGCGCGGCGCTGGGGAAGTTCACACGCCGGTCGGACACAAACAGATGCAGAAGCTGAGCATCGTTTCACCGATCCCCATCCCCACCAGCGTGGGCTGGGCCCCACTGGCCGATTTACCCCCCTGGATGAGGATGTAGGCTGCTCTCTTCGCGCTTCGAGGGGCACATTCCCCACTGAGGTGATTAGATGGTGGGGCTCGAGATGTAAATGGGAATGGGGATAGGGGTCGGTTGAACGGTACTGATAAACATGAAGCAGGGAGGCGGATCCAGTAGATTGGGTTCGGACCCGCCCAAGAACAGCAGACCACTACCAAGACGTCGTTTCTGGAATCAGACAGGCACTTGCCGTGGATGGGGCTTTGGGGGATCCAGAGATACCACACCTCCTTTCAACGACCAGCGTGTACGTGTGCGCCTAGAGGCCTCCTAGATGAGGCCGGAGTAGACGATAGGGGTCGGAGGATCGCGCCGCATCGCCGATGCATCGGCGATGCATCGGCCATGCATCGCGATGCATTGGCGATGCATCCGCGACGTCGCCAATGCATCGGCCACGTCGGCGTGGAGAAAATTGGGCCCCAGATCGAGCCGCATCGCCGATGCATCGCCGATGCATCGGCGACGCGGCGCGATCCTCCGACCCCACCTTCTTCTACCCCATCTAGGGGGCCCAGGAAAGTGCGCCGTGTGCTTCGCGCCTCTGCTCCCTGCTCCCCCTCCCAGGGAAAAATGATCCATCGGGCGCCCTCTCTGTCCCGTTTTCCCGCTCCTGCATGCTGGCCAACTCGCTACAGCGATGCCCCCGTCCGCTGGCGTAGACGCTCCCCCGACGAAGAACGCGTGTGTGCCGTGTGCTTCGCGCCTGTGAGCGTTTTCTTATTCGGCGTTTCGACATTGGGCAGAAGGGGGAGGGAGGAGTGCGGGGGTCTGCCTCCAGACCTCTGCTTCATACAACTGCTTGCAGCAGTGCGTCCTGTGGGGGAGACTCCAACCTGCCTGAAACAGGCGCCAAAAAGCAGCCAAGATGTACTCCAGGGGGGTGGATGGGGGGTGTGCGAGGGACCGCCTATCGGCAAAACACAGAATACAAAAAACGACCACCCTCTGCTCCCTCCTCCCCCCTCCCAAGGAAGTGATCCATCGGGGGAGCGGCGGGGCGGGGCACGTGCGCATCCGCCGCGCGCCTCGCGCTGCGGCGCACGCCGCCCCCCCGCATGCCCTCCCTGCGCCGCCGTGGCCTGACGTTCGGGGATCTTCTGACCTGGGTCAATCCAGACCCGGATCAGTCAGGCCTTGCAGAATCCTGCAAGATCCTGCACCCAATCCCGGGTCAATGCGGCCCTGGCCCTGCAGGATCCTGCAAAATCGGGCGCTCTGGCTGACCCCCGTTTGCAGTGACCCCCGTCTCAAGGCTCCCGAGACGTCCCCGCCCCCCTCGGCCTGGGGGGGGGCGCCTCGACGGCCGAGCCCTCCCCGCTCGGGAGGCCCCCCCCAGGCTTCGGCGCTGCGGCCCTCCACCTGCGCCGCGCCCTGCCACCCAGCGCCCCCCTCCCCCCTCCCTTCCCCTCCCCTCCCCCCGCCACCACCCCCCCCTCCTCTTCCTCTCCCCTCCCCTTCCCTTCCCCTCCTTCCGCTCCCCCTTCCCTTCCCCTCCCATCCCCTCCCCTCCCCCCCCCCTCCATTCCCCTCCCCCCCCGCCACCATCCTGCTGCCTTCTCCCCGCCTGCCGCCCAACTGCTCCTGCGCCGACGACCCCGCCCCCTCCCCGAATGGGAACCGCCGGAGACGGCAGCTCGATCCGAATGCGGCCTGCGGCCTGATGGAAAATATACTCCGCCACGCTAAGACCAGCCAGGCAGGAGGAGTAGGAGACCGCCCCTCACCCTTCGACGATCCTCCCCGACCGAAATGTGCAGAACGGGTCCCCGGACCCAAAACTCGCCCTGGCCATCCTGTCCAGCAGCGCCCAGCCGTGTCGACGAGAGCCGCCAGAAGCGCCAACGAACCCTCAAAACGAAGTCAGAGAGGGCCGCTCCCGCCCGCATCGTGGAGGCGGGCAGAGCGGGGTGGAGCGAGGGGGTGGGGCCCGCTGAGCTCCAAGACGTCAAGCAGGAGGGTGTCCCAGAGGACAGAAGGGCATCCAGGAAGACCGCCCTCTGTTGCAAACTGCCTCCTGCGCGAGCCGATACTCATTCGCGCAATCCGAGGTGTGCAATAGGCCTGGGGGAGGGGACCGCGTGGCGAGTAAAGAAGGGGCTGCCCTTTCTGGGGCGTGGGGCGTCGATCACGCTGAGGGGTGGGGTCGGTGCGCTTGGCCGCGGGCCAGAACGGGCCGTCGGGCTGGGTGGAGGGAGGGAGGCTCTTCCGTAGCACCCCGCCGTTGCGGATCAGAGTGAGGGGGCGGCGGGACGTCGGCGGTTCGCGGTGCTCAGAAGAAGCCCGCAGCAAGCGCTGAATATTTACGTGGAACCAAGCAGTTGCGGATACGAGTGAGGGGACGGCGGGGACGTTGGCAGTCTGAGAGGCTTTTGAAGAAGCCGCCGCAAGCGCTTTTTTTTCTACAAGCTATACTGCAGGCGCCAATGCTTCCGTTTAAGAAAATCGGTGGGTCGCGGGTGGGTCGCGGTTGGGTCGCGGGTGGCTCGCGGGCCGGGTCGCAAGTGCATCGCGGGTGGGTCGCGGGTCGTTCGCGGGTGGGTCGCGGGTGAGTCGCGGGCCGGGTCGTGGGTGGGTCGCGGTTGGCTCGCGGGTGGGTCGCGGGAGGGTCGCTGGTGGGTCGCTGGTGGGTCGCGGGTGTGTCGCGGGTAAGTGGCGCGGGTGTCGCGGGTGGGTCGAGGGTGAGTCGTAGGTGTGTCGCGGGTGGGTCGCGGTTGGCTCGCGGGCGAAGTCGCGGGCGGGACGACGACAGCAAACAACGCACAACGAACAACGCACAACAAACAACGAGTAACGAATAACGGCAACACCACCACCACCGACAACAACAACCACAACAACAGCCACAACAATAACTACAACCACACCAACACCACCACCACCAACACCAACACCAACAACAATAACAACGACGACGACGACAACCACCACCACAACATTGATAACACCAACGACAGCAACAATAGCAATAACAATGAAAACAACGAGGAGCCACAACAACAACTACATCAGCAGAGA